AAATGGACATCACCAACAAATTCAGAGTGCTTGGGTATGGTTAGGAGGGCACTGACTTTTCTAGACTACCCTATCTATGTTTCCTGGTAAAATACATGGGAAAATCTCATTGGAGGAAAATTCCACTTAGGGTTAGGGTTAGGTCACCATGAACTTGGAGAGTCAAATGGACATTGCCAACAAATTCGGAGTGCTTGGGTATGGTTAGGAGGGCACTGACGTTTCTAGCCTGCCCTAGCTATCTTTCCTGGTAAAATACATGCCATTGGAGGAAAATTCCACTTAGGGTTAGTGTTAGGTCACCATGAACTCCTAGAGCAAAATGGACATTACCAACAAATTCGGAGTACTTGGGTATGGTTGGAAAGGCATTGACTTTTCTAGCCTGCCATATTTATGTTTCCTGGTAAAATACATGGGAAAATCCCATCGTAGGAAAATCCCAGTTAGGGTTAGGGTTAGGTCAACATGAACTCGGAGAGCAAAATGGACATCACCAACAAACTCGGAATACTTGGCTATGGTTAAGAGGGCACTTACTTTTCTAGGCTGCCCTATCTGTGTTTCCTGGTAAAATACATGGAAAAATCCCATTGGAGGAAAATTCCACTTAGGGTTACGGTTAGGTCACCATGAACTCATAGAAGAAAATGGACATCACCAACAAATTTGGAGTGCTTGCATATGGTTAGGAAGGCACTGACTTTTCTAGCCTGCCCTATCTATGTTTCCTGGTAAAATTCCACTTTGCTATAGTATAATTCTGTTTTTTCTTGGAGAGAAAAGCTCTAAACCTCTGCAGGGTAACCTACTCTCCATTAATCACACAGAAAAGCGTTCACATCTACTAGATTTGAGATCTCCATTGTGTTTATTGCGTCAATAGCTTCAAGAACACCCTCTTTTTTTGTACAAATGTTCAAAGAAAAATGTCAGGTAAAGTACAAATTTTCCCCAGGATTTTCAGAAGAGGATCATGACAAATAACTATGAAACCTCTATGGGTTGAATTCCTAAATACTGTAAGATCTGATCAATCAGAAAGTTTGCAAAGTCTGTTTCTTTTATAATCTTAGTGGCTCTCAAATCAGACATCTCAGTTTTTTGGCTGACATCAAAAATGTTGGTTATTTTGTACAATATCATCCTATTAGTGTGCCCATTATGGAAGCCATCTCATTTCTGTAATTTTTTTAAAAAGTTATTAAAATATAAAAAGAGGAAAAGGATTATTAATTGCTACCCTCTGTTATACTAACATTCTGTTAAAAAGTTAAGGTTGTATTTTGTTAAAGCCTTCTAAATTCTTAAAAGTGTTTTATAGAAGCACTATCTTCTTTATGTAAAATCAAATGTCAGAAGATACTTTGTTTTCAACCTCAAAAGATTGAACTAATCTAGCTAGTAAATAACATTTTATATTTTTAAATTCATCTTACAATATTGAGAACAAGAAACAGCGGCCCTTTTCACTAAAATGAAAATGGTGAAGTTTCTTAAAAGGTATGTATATGTTATGAATAGACTGTCATTCTTCAAGACTGGGAATATCAGTCGAGTTAACATTAAACACATAGCATCTGTTCATTGGGGGGGGGGG